CTACTCCTTTTTTTTTTCCTACCCAACAACCAGTTTTCCAGACACATCTGTATAACCTATAATTCATTTCAGCCAGGCGTGGTAGTGCACGCCTGTAATCCCGGCACTCTGGAGGCTGAGGCAGGGGGATTCTTGTGAGTTCGAGACCAGCCTGAGCTACAAAGTGACTGGCCTCGAACTTGCAGCAATCCTTCTGCCTCAGCCTCCCGAGTGCTGGGATTTACAGGCATATGCCACCATGCCTGGCTAATTTTTTTTTTTTTTGGTACCAGGAATTGAACTTAGGACCTTGCACTTGCCAGGCAGGCGCTTGTGCCTCTGAGCTATATCCCAGGCTCATTCCAAAGGATTTAGGAGCTCTTTCAGGAACCTGGGACAAAGACCAGATACTGGTGTTTCTTATGGTATCTTACCTTCCCATGGTATTAATACATTCTGGTTTGGTTTTGTTTTGGCGGTACTGAAGATTAAACCTAGGGCCTTTGCATGAAACTACAACCCCAGCCCTCTTATTTTTTTATTTTGAGATAGGGTTTCACTAAGTTGCCGAGGCTGGGCTCAAACTTGCAATCCCCCTGCTGTAGACTCCTAAAGTGCTGGGATGACAGGCCTGTAGCACCATGCGTGGCTAATACGTTTCTTTGTCCTTTGGATTTGCTATATGTTGGTAGTTAGATCGCAGGCTTGCTCTGCTTAGTTGAGGTTTTTTGTTCCCCAGAACTACTTTATAGATGGTCTGTGTACTCCATCAGTAAGCACATAGTGTTTGGTTGCTTCTCACTTTGCAATATTAGCAATTGTTGATCATGCCTAAACCCTGTTGTATTTGTAGAGGTTTGCAAAATGCTGAGCCTCTGTTATTCTTTCTTCCGTAGCTGAAACTTTTCCCGCACTAACCCCTGGTTACCGAGAAAGGATATGCAGGAAAAGCCCTACAGTGTGAGGTGACCTGTGAGGTGGGCTTCTCCCCATTGCTGCTGTAAACTCCGGGACTTGAGGAGATGTGAGCCAGGCTGTTGCGTTCTTACTGAGTCAGGAGGGAAATCTGTGTCAAAGGACACAGGCCGTTATCAATGGCAGTGCCAGGCCCTGTCCCCATTTCCTTTTCCCTGTGCACACCCCGAGCGAGTACAGCATGGTCACAGCGCTCTGCATCTGCGGGTGTCTTTGTTATGCCAAATTCCCTCCTCTTTTCAGTAGTTATTTCTGTCTGTCCTTAGCTCTTAGTTAAAGGTACCGGATGGCTCTTTTTTAAAAATACATATTTATTTATCCTTGTGTCACTCTTTCCTCACTCCCCTCCTGTCTGTCCGTCTGTCTGTCTTTCTGTCTTTATTTCTTGGGACTAGAGATTGAACCTAGGCCCTCACATATTAGACAAGCATTCTGCCACTGAACCACAGGGTGATTCTTGTCATTGATTCTTTTAAATTTCCTGTGGTTTTTTTTTTTTCTTTGTCTTTTTGAGACAGGGTCTCACTCTGCAGTTTAGGCTGGCCTTGAGCTCACTTTGTAGCCCAGGCTGGCCTTGAACTTGCAACAATCCTCCTGCCTCAGCCTGAGTGCTGGGATTACAGATGTGCGCCACCACACCTGGCTGTGTTTGTTTTTTGAGGAAGTCTGGCATTTTAATTCAGGCTGGCCTTGAACTCGTTCTGTAGCCGCTGCTGTCCTCACAGTGGTGATCTTTCTGCTTCAGCTTCCAGTGTGCTGGGATTACAGGTGTGCATGCCTGGCTAAATGTAGTTCCCAGTAGATTAGCATTTAATAAAGGTCATTTCATAACACTCTTCTGTCTTAGACCACATGTCTGAGGTACTTTGGGTGCTAGAGAGGTACTCAGGTACGGATCCTGCTTGTGAAGGCTGTAGGGAAAGAGGAAGGTGTGGCCATGGGGTTGAGTACAGATCTGTGGGTCTTTGGGAGGGAGAGAGGCACTTGATGAGACTCAGGAAAAGTTTGGGGAAGGGCAGCGCTTGAGTGCCCTGAAAGCTACAGTGCGGCTGGGACAGTGGAGAAGGGCCAGAGGGTGTCCTGGCTGCGTGCGGCAATATGAACAAGGTCGGAGTACGGCACTGTGGGAGGAAAAGAGAGCTACAGAGTTAGAGCCTGAGTCCACCAGGGTAGGGTCTAGCCACTGCCCACACAAACTAGGTCTGATAAGGGCTGAGCACCTCCTAGAGGTCAAGGTCACCATGGCCAGGCAGAAGGACTTGGGCACAGACGAGCTGGAAGGCTGGACTCTGCATATGTCATGAGGAGGTGTAGGCTGATTAGCCCAGAGGCCCAGCCCTGGGGGACAGGGACAGGCTCAAGTCTGAGGTGGCCAGGATGGCAGGACACTGTGTCTTGTAACATTGATACCAGGTGGATGATCACAAGGGACTTCCTTTGCTCTGTCCTTTGGCACCTGGGTGGATGGTGCTGCCACTCCTTAAGATTAGGGCCCTAGCTGAGCATGGTGGCGCACACCTGTAATCTTAGCACTTGGGAGGCTGAGGCAGAAGGATCATTGCGAGTTTGAGGCCAGCCTGGGCTACAAAGTGAGCTCAAGGCCAGCCTGAACTACATAGCGAGACCTTATCTCAAGAAGACACACACAGAAAAAAGGTTAGGGTCCTGGCTTTTAAGGAGACCTTGAGTTAGTTCTGGGGATTCTTACAGTGGCCCTCAGTGAGGTCCTGTTCTTTACATTGTCCGGGACCTTTGGATCTATGCCTTAGGTGAGGACCTGCCTGCTGTTTACCAGTCCTGCAGATAACCCCTAGCTGAGACCTTTCAGTCCTTCCCCAGGGACACTGTGTCAGGCAGCTAGGGAGTGGTGCAAGAGCAGGGGCCAGGCCTACTGCTCTAGCCTGGTGGTCCATGGTGTGGGGGCCAGGGGGAGGAGGGCCGTGATAGGGCTGTGGGACAGAATTGCTCAGCTGGGGAGGAGTTCACCAGCCCTGTCATTGAGAACCCCTGGTGCAGTCAGCCACTGCTGTGTGCTGTTTGAATGTGCCATCTCTCTCACGTTCGGTGGGATGGGTGGTCAGGGTCAGGACCTCTTGCCTGCGGGTTCAGTTTAAGTGTCTTTGAGCTCTGCCCTGGTCAGATAAAAGCACTCCTCGCCTGTCCCCCCGCCTGGTCAGGGAAGCCTTTGCTCACATGTATCCAGCCCACCCCACTGGGCTGTGGTCCCTAACGATGTGTCCAGCCACTGCAGCTGGACTCCATGGCCGCCTCAGGGTTGGCACCTATGAGGAGGCTGCCAGCGGGTCAGGTGTCCTGAGGGGAGGAGGCGAGGAGGGGTTGGAGGCTGCTGTGATCGGCCTTGAGTCTGTGTATTGGTTCAGCACTGCCCTCAGGTAACCTCCAGGAGCTAGGAAGGAACAGGACAAATGGAATGTGACATGGTTTACCGGGGCTGGGACAGGGGAGGGCCCCGGTCTTGCCTTCCCTTGGCCACTGGTTGGCAAATGGCTTGAGTTCAAGGTCCCCCCGATTAGGGACATGGGACAAGGTCCTTAGTGGAACAGCTCTGCTGCGTAATTGTCTCATGACCTGTTGTTTCTCTTAACAACACCATGGCCTTCAGGTGGATCATTTCTCTCACCTCTCTCTTTTGGTTTTTTTTTATTTTTCTGTTTGTTTTTTGAGAAAGGTCTTGTTAAGCAGTTCAGGTTGGCCTCAGACTTGTTGCGATTCTCCTGCCTCAGCCTCCCAAGTGTTGAGATTACAGGTGTGTACCACATGCCTGGCTACCTCCCTCTTCTCTCAATGCATGTGGTGGGGGGCTGCTTTTGGTGGCCCTTGCAGAATGAGGCGTGGGGCTGAGGGTTGGGAGTTAGAGGAGGACTGGGCAAAGACAAATAGGAAGCCACAGGCATTTGGCAGAATCCTAGGTGTGAGACCATATGAGTGACTTCTGTGACCTTAAGCCCTTGCAGACCCCTTCTTCCCTCCAGCTGATTCAGGTGCTTGGAATGTGGCTCATAGACCAGTGATCACATGGTGGATGCTGTGTGATGCCTCCCGGTGTGTGTGAGGCCTCCCTGTGTGTGCACTGTGTATGGTCTAGCAAAGATAAAAAAGACACTTGAGCTCACCCTAGAGCACCCTGAAATAGGGAAAAAGAGAAACCTGCTTTTAGATAGAGGTGACCACAGGGGTCCCGCTCGAGTCTCTGGTCAGTAGGTCTGGAGCGGGGCCTGAGATTGAGCTTTTGAAATTGGTTCCAGGTGGTGCTGACACTGCAGGTTGGAATTAGCACACTGGGTTGCTATAGCAGAGTGTAGGCTCCTCCTCACCGCTGCCGCTGATGGGCATGGCCCCAGCCAGCCAAGGGGTTTGGGGAAGCCAGCATTTTATACATTGCTTTGATGAGCTCAGGACCAGACCAGGCTCCTGCTGGGTGCTGTCATATTCAGTCCTGACAGATGAGGAAACTGGGGTTTAGAAGTTGTTCATTTGTCTGAAGACACACACCCAGATATGACAGGAGCCAGTGGGTTAACACCTGGGTGGCAGGGAGGCCAGCTAGCAGCTTGCAGGGTGGAAACATCCTGGGAAGGCTTGTAAGAGAAAAAAGAATCAAAATTGCTGGCTTGCTAGCTGGGGAGAGGGAGGGCAAATTTTTCTCAGGAAAACTGGCATCCTGCTACTGTGGCCATTCTGGGGTGGCATTTCATGTTGTTCAGCAGGGTTGCCCTGGAGAGAGGATGCGTGTAGGTAAGAGAAATCCTGAGGAGCAGGCAGGGATGGCCCCGAGATAGGGCTGAGGCTTGAGTTCTGCCTGGCTCAGGCTCACTTTCTAAAGCAGCCACTATTTATGGAGCCAGGTGCTACTGAGATGTATGAATTACAGCTCTATTGGTGTGTTGTCCCCATTTTGGGGGTGAGGAAACTGAGGTTCTGCACACAGCGCTTTGCCTGGCACTCAGCAGATAGAAACAAGACCGGACTCCCCCGGGACACTGAGCCTTGCCCTCGTGCCTCATCGCCTTCTCTGCCTTCCCCAGCTCATCACACAGACCTTTAACCACCACAACCAGCTGGCCCAGAAGGCCCGGCGGGAGAAGCGAGCTCGGCAGGAGGCTGAGCGGAGGGAGAAGGCAGAGCGAGCAGCCCGACTGGCCAAAGAAGCCAAGGCAGAGAACTCGGGGCCGCAGATCCAGGAGCTGACGGATGAGGAGGCAGAGAGGCTCCAGTTGGAGATTGACAAGGTGAGGCTAGGCTTCCTTCCTGTACCTCTCAGTCCTGTGGGCACTAGGAAGTGGGGTCCTGTTGCCAACTGCTGTGTTCTTTGCCACAGAAAAAGGACGCGGAGAATCATGAGGCCCAGCTTAAGAATGGCAGCCTTGGCCCCCCAGGGAAGCAGGTGAGAGGGACTGGAGGCGCTCGGCTGGCCAGCATGTTGGGCACTAGTCTTCCTCTTTCTCTGGAATGTTCTTCCTTCCCCTTCCCTGCCCCCAGCTTCGGGGATCCTCCCCATATTTCAACATCCCACTCAGACACATGGAACAAATGGATCTGAGTTTAAAAAACAAACGGAAAACCCACTGGCCTTTACCTTGGATGGGAAAGCCAAGAGCCAGAGAGGGCAGGGCTTGTATAGGCACCATCAGCACAGGCACCAGCCATGCCCTTTGTCACGTGGTATAATAGTTCACACTCCTGGGCAGAGATCAGAACCCAGTTTTACCCCTCTCTGGGTCCCTCTCGACCCGGGTTTGGGAGTCTGCGGACCAGGTCTGTTTTGTGTTGTGGTTATATGCTCCGTGCCAGCGCTGGGCCTGGCCCAGTGGGGGCTTCAGTGTGTGTCTGTCAAGTAGCTGAGCACCACTGACTGTGAGCAGGAGGCTGAGGAGGATGAAGAAGAGGAGGACGAGAAGGACAAAGGGAAGCTGAAGCCTAACTTGGGAAACGGGGCTGACCTGCCCTTCTACCGTTGGACCCAGACCCTGTCGGAGCTGGACGTGAGTGCTGGGGCCAGGGGCAAGGGCTAGGAAGCCTCTGGGGTCCTGGTAGTTCCCGCTGACCCCTCCTGACTTCCTGTGTTCCGTGCAGCTGGCAGTGCCCTTCCATGTCAACTTCCGGCTGAAGGGGAAGGACGTGGTGGTGGTCATCCAGCGACGGCACCTCCAGGTGGGGCTCAAGGGGCAGCCAGCGGTCATTGATGGGGAGCTGTACAATGAAGTGAAGGTAGAGGAGAGCTCCTGGCTCATTGAGGACAACAAGGTGGTGACTGTGCATTTGGAGAAGGTACGAGTGGCCTGCCCTCCTAGCCGGGGTGCTGACAGCGGGAGTTGGGGTGGGAAGGTCTGCTGTTCACTTGGGCTGTGCTTGGGGCCATGTGCAATTATCCTATGTAATCCCCACAGCGAGACCTTTAAAGTCGTACCCCTTGTTTGAAAGTAAGGAAAGAGCTGAGATTGCCCCTGCCCCTCCAAGATGGGGGCAGCAGTGGGTGGGGGGAGGGCTGAGCCTCTTTGCTGTCAGGTTTGCGTATGTGTTTAGTTCCACACATGTTGAACACCTACTGTGCACCAGGTGCTCTTCTAAGGCTTGAGAGAGAACAGTGAGCAAAATGTAGAAAAGCAAAATAGCCCCAAAGACTGCTTCTCCAGTTCACTGCCTTCCCAGAGAGGTGGGACAGACACCAATAAGTCACGGCCCTCTATAAAGGGTCTAGGGACAACCCTTCCCGGGAGAGAGGGTCGCCCCAGCCCACCTGGCTGCCCTTGTACTTGCTTCCCTCGCAGCTGGAGTGCTCTGTCCTGCTCTTTTCCTTTTGTCCTGGGGTACACGCTGCTCATAGTTCAAGGCTTATCCTCAGTGTCACTCTATCGTCTCTCCGCACCCTGGATGGCATCTCCCTCCACCTTTTCCTTTCCCTCATCACTGACTTCTGAGCACTGGCCTCAAGTCATCCTGCCCCAGCTGCTGGGAGGGCACAGGTCTGGCTCATCTGTGCCCCAGTGTTAGCACACACCTGTGTGGGTCTCAGCTACAGGATGTGGATGGGAGATAGTTTGGTTCTGGGAAGGTTGAGAGCTGATTTCTGGGGCACAGAATGAGCCTCTCCTGTCCTCCTGCTGTCCTCCTTTTCACAGGTCAATAAGATGGAGTGGTGGAGTCGCTTGGTATCCAGTGACCCTGAGATCAATACCAAGAAGATTAACCCTGAGAATTCCAAGGTTAGCCCCAGCTGGTTTGGGGAGCTTCAGGAAGGGGAGGGTCCTAGGTGGTCCCTAAGCATCACCCATCCCTGTCCCTGCCTGCCCCTAGCTGTCAGACCTGGACAGTGAGACACGGAGCATGGTGGAGAAAATGATGTATGACCAGAGACAAAAGTCCATGGGGCTGCCCACCTCGGATGAGCAGAAGAAACAGGAGATCCTGAAAAAGTAAGCAGCTCAGAGATGGGGGTGTCAGGAGGGTGGGTGCCTGGGAAGTTAGACCTGGGGAACGGCAGTGAGTGGGTCATTCAGCAGGACTGAGCTTCCCTGCCCAGTTTCCAGCATGAGCCAGCCAAGTTTTTGGCTTTGTGGCATTGGCTTGCCTATCTTAATCACTTGCTGAGGTCACCTCGAGGGCAAGGCCAGCTCAGTAGAAAGCAAGGGTAACAGGCGGTCACTGCCCTCTGTGACAGTGCCAGTGTTGGCACCTCTGTTTCCAGCCCCAGGGGCTCAGATGGGCCTCAGACACCCAGGTCCCTGCCTTGCCTAGTGCCACATTTCTCAGGGTTCTGAAGAGGTTAGACTTGATTTCCATGGTTAGGGGAGAAAGGCCGCCTGTTTAACTTCCTACTTCCACTTCCCCAGGTTCATGGATCAGCATCCAGAGATGGACTTCTCCAAGGCCAAGTTCAACTAGCTCTGTGTTTGCCTCCCTGAACTCTTGGGGCTGAGCCCCCAGCCATCCAACCTCCTTTCCCACCATTCCCTGGGACTTGGGGAGCCTCAGGGCTGGGGCAAGCATGGGGCTGGCCCGGGTACATGGGTTCCAGGACATCATGGGAGAAGGGCTGGGGCCTTGGAGGTCGTGTCCTCCCTGGTAGGCCTACTGTTACACATTAAAGCTATTTACCTGGCTCGACCTTTGTCCTCTCCTCCCTCTGGTCTTTCTCCCTCTGGTCTTTCCCTGGGACCAGCTCCTGTCAGTCGCTGGAAGCTAGGATTTTGACGGTGGCTGAGAAGCGGCTGTGTGACCCAGGGCAAGTCCTTGTCTTGCCCTCTCTGCACCTCAGTTTCTTCCCATTACTTACAGGGAGGATTAGGACAAGGCTTTCAGTCTCTGGTGTTGGGGAGAGGTGAATTTTTCTGGGTGAAGAGATTAAAACACGTTAGATTTTCAGGGGAGTCCATGACCTAGCAAAGGTTAAAACCAGCTGGACATAATGATTTGATTTTCTTTTCTAAGACAGCTGCCTACCCCTATCCCTGAGGCAAACATTTTCCAAACTATGGGCTGTTTCCCAGGGGCACAAGAGCAACAGGGCCTAGGAGACCCTGTAGCTCATGAGAGGGAGATAGGACTGGCTCAGTTCTTCATATCTGCCCAGTGTGGGCTGGGTGAAGTCTAGTGAAGCACACTGGCTCTGACACGGACCTCTCACATTTCAGGCCTCCTAGGAGGGCGAGGCCGGAGGTATTTGCCTCTGCCCAGATCACCCCCTAGAGCTGACCTGGGCCTGCTCCAGCCAGAGGGTGGAGGTCACCAAGTACAGGGGCCAGGAGGTTACAACAGCACCTGGCCTTGTTTTTCCCAAGCTTGATCAGCCCTTTTTTTGCAGGAATGCAAATAGTGGTTCACAAGGCTGTTTAGAAAATGGTATTCTTATGGCCAGGGCTGGAGTGGAGGGTATCACTCCCCTACTCAGCTCTGGCGCAGTGCAGTTATTTCTTTCATTCCTTCACTCACTTAGTGGTGCTGAGGCTCAAACCCTCAAACTTGCAGAGCAAGTGTTCTACCACTGAGCCACACCCAGCCTGGGCAGTTCACTGTCGTGGAGGCCTTGACCTGGATGAGACAGCCACCAGTTAGATTGCAGGAGCTAGAACTGGTTCCTATGGTCATGGCCCCAGGGCACCATCCTGTGCCACTCATGGAAACAGTAACAAGTACAGTGCGTCTAGTGGTCGGCTGAAGCATGCCCCTGGTGGTGGTGCTATAAAAAAAGGCTTTGGTCCCTCAGCTACACGGGCTGTTGCCAAAAAAAATGAAAACCTGTTGTGGGGTGCCCATCTGTAATTTTAGCACTCAGAAGATGGAAGCTGAGGCAGGATTTTTTGGGTTCTAAGCCAGTCTGAGCTATATAGTAAGATCTTGTCTCAGTACCCCCTCACCAAAAGATGGCTGCAAGTGAAGAGAGGGTGGGGAAAGGGGAGTTTCTAATCATTGTACATCTTATTTTCAGTTGAGGATGGGCTGGCAGGCTCACCCCGTCTCTCCAAGGAAGGACTAATAGACATGCCGGTGTGAGCAGCAGCTAAAAAGGATGAGTGTAGCTGGGGGCAGCCCCAAGCTACGAGGTCAGCTTCGAGGTGTTGAGCCAGTCACCAGCTAAATGACTCACTGACTTTGTGACTTCTGAGGCCCAGACTCCAACTTTACATTTACTAGGAAGGCCCAGGTCACAAAACTGGTGCTGTGTTAACACCACAAAGAGCAACAGGCTATAGGCTGGAGGGGAGGCAGTGGCTGACCAGGAACTTAGGGAGACTGATGAGTGGCCACAAAGAGGCCAGTGTGCAGGCACAGGGAGTCCTGACAAGCCTCCCTGAACCTCTGCAGTGACAAAAACCAATTGCCAAATCTTCCTCAGGTATAGGCCCTTCAGGGCCCTTTATCGCTAAGAACTTGTAGTGAACCTGTGGGAGGCAGTATTGCACCCACCTTATCTGCAACACTGAGCCATACTGCTTGCCTAGGTCCCGTCTCCAGCACTTGCAGATGGGACAGAAACGATGAGGTAGCCCAGACGACCAGGCAGGCTTGCAAACACTCATGTTAACATGTACCTCAGTCAAGAACCACAACAAACCACAGAACATGTCGAGTGGGTACTACGCACAGAACAGAGAGAGGCCCTGCCCACTCCACTTAAACTTCTTTTAAAGTTTTCATGTTTGTCTAGGGTAACACATGGGGATGGAGTCAGGATTCAGTCCCAGAAGGTAACTTCCCAAGTCCTTATGTCCATGATCAGGCCACAGGAAGGAACAGGCTCAGGCAGGGGTCAAGCCAGCTGGGGATGCAGGGGAGTGGGCACCGTGACCCTGTGAAATGCATGTGGTCCAAGAACCAGTCAGCCAAGGCAGGAAGAGCAGAGTGGGTACTGCTTATGGTCCAGCCTTCCCCAAAGGGATCCTGGTCCCTCTATTCTGTAGGCCACGCTTCTCCCAGGAGGGGTCGGGGCTGCTGGGCCCAGCAGGGGTTAGCAGTACACCTGGAGCAGGGGTGCCCCTGATGAGTCCGTGTCGGTGCCCTGGAAAGATGAGTCGTGGCTGGCTGGGTACCCTGGTAGGGGGAGGAAGCAAAGGCTCAGAGCGGGGAAGAAGCCTGCTGAGAAGGAATAGAGCAGGGCTTGAATGTGGTCAGTCATCCTGCCTGGGGGACCCACTCTGTTCTGACCTCTGACCCCCAGCCTCCCTCTCTGCAGAAGGGTAAGACTGACTGTGCCCCCAGGGTTACATTGCGAAGGCACAGAAGGGACTGGTAGAAACAGGTACTTGTGCAGCAACAGGCTGGATGGCCTGTACTCCAGCTCGCTTCTCAGGGCCCGTCCTAATTAGAGATTGGGACTGGGTCACTTCTAACTCGTGTATCTGGACACCTGCCCCTTGCTTCAAGCCAGTTACAGCAGTGGAATGGATCTGGGGCTGCTCAGGCCTCTCACACCTTTCTGACCCCATTCTCACCCACCCCAAGCAGCAGCTGGGAGGAGCATGTATGGGGGGCCCTGGGGTAGTCTCCCACCCTCTGCACTCCTCCTCAGGTCAGGACCACACCTGGGGCTCCGTACGGCCTCAGCTTCCTGGCGATGGCATCTGCTGTCGTCTCCTGGGAGATCTGCACTGTCAGTTCTGGGGGAGAGGGGACATGAGAGGGAAGTGGTCATTATCACATCCTTTGAACCCCACTCCTGATTCTGCTTGAGATGTAATAAAGGAAGTGCCCCTCACCCTGGGCAGGGCTGGAGAAATAATGCTTAAACATGGAGAAGCTGTGTGGGTGTGTGCTCACTAGTGACTGCACGTGTGTGGCGGTGGGTGGCTAGGTGGGTAGGTGGGTAGGTGACTTGGTCAGGCCAGCCAAGTCAGAAGTCCAACTTTATAAGGGCCCTGAGCCTTACTGCTCAGGCTAGGTCTGGAAGCAACTCCGGCAGCGGGTAGCAGGGGAGAAAAGGAACCTGTTAGGTGAGCTCCATGACCTGGAGAGAACTTTGTCCTTTCTGAGAATAGCAGCGGCCAGAGAGCCTCCAGGGTCTGCATGCTCCTCTGTCCTGTTCAGACCTCCCTGGGGAGGGCCAGAGTGGGAGGTGGAGTGAGTGCTGCACAGTTGAGAGGAAGGGGAAGAGCAGGGACTGGCTCAGGGGAGGACGACAGTGGCCCGAGTCCCCAGTCTAACCCTCCTGTGGCTGCAGCATCCCTTACTGTGCCCTCTGGCCCCACCTACCATCTTGGCTGAGACCTGAGCCCACCATGGTCTCATGGCCACTGTCGGGAGCGGCAGCAGTGGGCGCAGCAGCCCGGGCCGAGCGCCCCTCTGAGGTCTGTGGGCGAGTGCGACTTTTCCGGGTACTGATGCGGATGATGCCTCGTACCAGCCGGCCCTCGGCATCCTGCTCGTCCAGGTGGTAGTCCTGCGTGATGCTATTGATCAGGTCCGAGATCTTACTGGTCTTCTCCAGGAACACAGTGTCTGATGTGCATTTGGCCAGCTCGTCAATCTGGTGGACGCTGAACAGCTCAGTCAGCTTCTTAAAAATGAGCACGTCGATCTCCCGGCTTGACATGGAGCCACTGCCTATCTCGGGCAGGTCCAGGTCTGACTCGTGGAAAGAGTAGTACTCCTCGGAGCCACGCGGACTGCTGGGAAGGGTGCCAGGCAGGCTGTGGCGCATGGGAGGGGGCTCGGCCAGCGGCTCCTTATAGCAGGAGTCCGCATCCAGATTTGGGGAGGTGGTGCTGCGGAAGGGGTATACAGGGATGCCTTTGAGCTTGACGTCAGGGTAGCTAAAGCTGCTTCCCATGGCAGATTTGAGCCGCTGGCCATCCCTGGGGGGTGCACGGTCAGGGCTGGGGGGCACCCCATTGTGCTCCTTGGCCCAGTTAGCTTCACCAGGCCCCTCAACGGAGTCCTCAGCAGACAGGCAGGAGCTGCCGCCCCGCACACAGGCCCCACAGCGCTGGAGGCAATCCCAGCAGCGGCGGAAGCACAGGGCGGCCCGGCACCAGTCCCATCCCCAGGGCCGCCAGAGCAGGCAGCAGGCAGGGGGTTCGGCAGCAGGCTCGGCAGAACCAGAGATGAAAGTAATACTCTCTGGCCCATGGCGGCCAGGGTCCTTGGGGTCCGGCCTACGGGTGCGTCGGCCTGGGGGAGGCTGGGGTGGGTCATTGTAGGTCTCCAGGCATAGCTCTGTTGGCTGGTCCCACGGTCCTAAGCGAGCCGGCCCAGAGGATGGGCGAGGCTGTCCTGGTCGGGGCATGGCTCACTGCATGGTTTGCCACAGCCAGGCACCTGCAGGGGAGAAGCCAGGACCACAGGTCAGGGACAAGCTGTTGGGTTGACCAAAGAACTTCAGACTTCTGGCTTCTCAGAGGCCTGTGATATGGATGGGCTGAGGGTGCCCATATACCCTCACCTGCCGTGCTCTTCTCTCCCAAAGTGAAACTTCTGTGGTCTCTGATTTTTAAATTTCCTGGAACTTCACATCACTGAATGGCTGTTACTGAGGGAGGAGAAGGCAAAGGGGAAGGACAAGGAGAAGGGGAAGAAGCCCAGAGAATAACAAGTGTTAATGAGGATGTAGATAAATTAGAACCCTTATACATTGTTGGTGGGAATATAAAACGGTGCAGCTACTGTGGAAA